GAATATAGCCATTCTCGTCTCTTATAGCATTCATCATAGGCTGTTTTGAATGTCCCCTGGCAGTTCTTACAAGTTTCCAGAACATTTTAATATTTGCCTGGAAGTTATCCGATATTCTTCTATCATTCTTATCCGTTCTTTCTTGCTTTTTTCTTTCAACTACTTCTTTTACTCTCTTACTAAGATGTCTAAACACTGCCTTTTTTCTTTCGATGTCATCATTCGTACCGCTAGAATTACCAGCCTTTGTTGCTAGTAAATCTAGCCATGCTCTCTTCTTTGCTTCAACTTCCATACGTATCTCATCATCCCACCATAACGTATTATTTTTCCTTTCATTCTTTCTCTTACTAACACCACATACTTCAGTAGCTGCATCCACTAAACCTTTCTTTACGTTTTGCCATACATTCTCCAAGTCTAACTCCTTCATACATAATTCATCCAAACCACTTATATTTTCTTTCAGTCTATATTTGAACTTGTTTTTCTCGCCTTCATCTTGTAACCTTTCTGTTCTAATACGCTGTAAGGCAGTGGTAGACACAGATGATCGATGGCGCCAACGCCTGAATAGACCATTAATTCGGCATAAAACCAAATAATGATCCGTTCCTATGTTAGAACCCCGGTAAACCCTTGTATCTACCACTGCGCCCCTCAATCTTTCATCCACAATTATGAAATCTATCATGCTTCTCTTTCCCAAGTATACATGTGAATCCTCTTGTGGCGAAAGCAAGTGTTCGTCACAAAAAGATTCTTTTCCACACATACGGTGAGGAGACTTTCACCATTCTCATTTATACTTTCATCTCCAAACGTTCCCAATATCCTTTCATAACCAAGCCTCCTCACCCCAACCCTTCCATTAAAATCTCCTAGCATAATAATATTTTCATTTCCCTTACACTTCATTAACACCATCCTTACCATTTCCCAAAACTGCTCTCGGATATAAGTGGGCTTAGACATGTCTGGGGCGTAGACCCCTAACACAAACAACTTCTTTAAGCCCACTTTCATTCGTATCCATAGCAGTCTTGGGCTTACACATTCATATTCTTTCACACATTGGCCCATTCTTTCTGAAAGGATGATACCTACTCCCTGGCATGCCCGCTCGATCTCGTCTACACCAGACCAGTATGCGGTATACATGCCATGTGTAGTGACATCCTTCCCCTTCCTTTTCGTCTCATTTACACATAACACATCTATTCCTCTATCATACATCATGTCGCATACTTCATCCATTTTATCATTCATTGCCCCACATACATTCAACGTAGCCAGACGGGCCTCTGCAATCCACTTTTCGCCTCTCCGGGAGACAGAACGTGACGGGTGGCGAACCTCGTCGCCGGTTTTCCTCCCGGAGATTCTTCGCACACCTGCCCCATTAAAGGGGCGCCGGGAACTCAGGGCCATTTCTTTTATATGGTTCCTCATGGTGCGAAATATGGGGTAGTATATTTTACGCCGCTACCACGGCGTGGAGCCGAGACAGTCAAAATTTCAGATACATTCGAAAATGCAGATTCGCTTTCACCCCTGAGGATTAGGATAGAATACCTTGTTTTCAGTACAAAGGGTCTCTGGACTCTACACTCATACGAACAGCGGCATAAGCTGCTACTTCACGTTTCGTGGTAAGCTAGGACCGTCTTTCAGAAATATTTTACTTCACTTTTCCCAGCCTTGAATATCCTCAAGTATACTATTGGCTCGCATATCTATAAGAATGACATAGAGCTAAGTCGAGCTTCGGATATTTGTAAATTTAGGCATGTGTGGCCAATGTATCCTCGTATTCTGATGGCCTTAGCTCTTCGTGTCTTGTCACGTACTTCAAGTCTGCTGCGAGTACGCTTGTTGTGGCTACGTTACTTTCTCGTAGGTATAAGTATGCGCGGAGCCACTTTGCCCCCTCTTCTAAAAAAAAAAAAAAAAAAAAAAGCAGTAAAATCTTCATTTCGGTAACTTGGGTATCACACATTCACTTCTTAACTTTGGCCATGTCTCATTACTATCCCAAGAGCTAGCCTATGGATGCTTGCATGGGCCAAGCCTTTTAGTTTGTTCAACGTTTTGTATTGCTATAAGATATGTATACTGCCTAAACTTGCAAAATACGAATGCTAACTGATTATTCACAAAAACCATTGTTACATATAAAACGTTACGCTAACCAACGATAATGAATGGTTACCTTCATAATATAATGTAAATGTGTTTATGTTGTGTCTAAAATATTAACGTACATTCCCGTTACTACGATTTTTGCATTTAACTTTAATAAATAACATTTCCGCGTATAAATTATGTTTTGACAACGCAAAAGAGTTTTTCCTGCATAATTAGTGCCGTGTCCGTTCTATCATTAGTACGTCTAATTATTCTCTGAGAACTCCATCAGCAAGATTAGATTAGATGCTCGTGAGATCGGAACGTAATGTTAATTCACTTAAAATTTCACAAAATATTGAATAAACATAATGACGCCACTATATTCAATGGTAGTCCACATTAGCAGTCACTCTACATAATACACAGGTTGTCCGTAATGAGAGACAATAAGTGGTTGCCGCTTTTTGTTCTCTCCATTGTCAAAGCTTAACAACTACGAGAGTTATAATTGCATATTTATGCATAAAATAAAGCGGCGACTTTGGTCACTGTAATACAATTACTGTTGAGTAATTCTCAGCAACGTACCTACTACAATCGTCATAATAATATTAAGTTTAGTCTTGCGAAAACTTTGCATCCAATTGGCGGTATTAACAATGGTCGCATTAATATTAGTGTTGCCACATTGAATTACCATAGGTCTCTAGACTGTCGTCAAAAAGTCCCTAGTTATAACAAAATCAGTCCCCAATGTAAATTTAATTTTAAAAAAACGTGAAACAATGTTAAAATCGAACAATATATTCATCGAACATTAATATTCATATATATATATATATATATATATATATATATATATATATATATATATATATATATATATATATATATATATATATATATATATAAATAAGCATAATAATATTGTACATGTTAAGTGTTTTATTTTTATTGGTGATGGAATGCAGTTGTGCTTTTTAATGAGTTTATTATTGAATAAGCGACATCCAGAGAACGTTTGTTTCGGTTCCTTTACATTTTATTATTTCTTTAACGGATAGAGTATAGTATTCCTTACGCCTAAAATAGTCAGATGGTAACAAAAATTGAAGTAAGTGCAAATGTCGCTAAAAGTCGCCAGAATATTTTTTGTCGCTAAACATTGAATTAAACTCCCCAACCTAACAAAAAACTCGTTAGATTTAGCGACAAAGTCGCTAAAGTGGCAACACTGATTAATATTAAAGGTCAATTGAATAGAGCACAGTCGAAGCTTGCGACTGCCCGCTTACTGCGCTGTGCGCCCATATATCTCGGAACAGAAGTTTTTAAAGCGGCAAAACGCAAATGTTGAAATACGTGAGCGCGCGCGTTTTGCAAATGAAATGAGGAAACAGGCCTGCGGGTTGATTTCGAAAATCGTCTTGAAGATTGAGTAGAAGTGTTGTTAAGAGCATTAGTTTAATTGCTCACGTAAAAACAATAGCGCAGTGCAATTAGATAAGAAATGGGAACCGTCGGTTTGTTTGGTTGCCTGCAGAGGCCGCGGCTGTTCACATGTCGCCGGGTAACAATGAAAAGCTTAACCCGCAACTTGCAATTTCGAATTTAACACGGTATTTGTAAAAGTTATTTACAGAAGGATTTCATCGTTATCTCGTATGAACTTTGATGAGTCTTTTTATTAAACGAGTTTAAACCTTATATTCCACATGCGAAAACCTTTGTAATACGTACAACGTATAAATGCTGTCGGTGTTTCGAATAAATAAACAAAAAAAATTTTAACGTCTAATCCTTTCATTCAATAATTACACGTAGGTACCTTTTTTAATAAATTCATATTTTTAGATTTTTAATAAGCGAACTTTAGTGTAATATAAATGTTATTATAAATCCACCATAACTGTTAAAATATCTAAACCTCCACCAACATCAATATCAGTTAGTAAAAGCGTTAGTCACACCAAGTAAAAACCTAAGCCATTTCCCAATACGATGTCATCGCGATACTTGACGAGATAATGTAGTGCCACAACCCCCGTGCGAGACATCACGCTTATCCGATCACATTTCATCTAATACAATTATTCGACAACGCCACTCAAAAATAACAAATGAAATATTGATCTAGATTTGATTATCGCGAAGCAAGCGTCAACAAGATAATCTGTGGTGAGATTCTAATTACTGCCGTTTCGCAGTGTCTAAAACAAGGTTTAGATTTAGTTAATTTTAAGAACTGATTAACGAAGATACACATTTTGAATAAAGCTATTTATACGGACTTTATCGCATTTAATTAACTTATTTGTAATTCCCGAAGTTTCGGGTGCTTTACAGCACACATGGTCACGGGCGGGAGACCGAGATGTTTGACGTCCCAATGTCATAGTTACCTTCAGTTTTTGAATAATAATTTTTGTCCGATTTTCGCAGAACGAAAAGACTTCAAGATACTGTAAGGTGTAAGACCTTACAGTATCTTAAAATCTTTTAGTGGTGTGTTTGGGTTTCGATTTAATTTTGTTAATTATAGGATCCCAAGCAGATGGCAGATGGCGAGATGGAAGATATACATTGTTAATATTAGCCTTATTTCATGGTAGTGGCTAAGTACACGGCATTCTGTACAACCGCTTGCTATTATACAAAAAAGGTATCGATTTACTTTCTACGTTAGGTGATTTAGTTATTTTTTATTTGAACCACGAGATTTCCATGGTGTACACACTTTTGGCGTTTTATATTTAAAAAAGCAAATATCGAAAATGGCATTTATTTGTGGTCGGATAAGCGTACGTTCAAGTTGTTTGTGCCGAGTGCGAGCGAGAGCAGTGCAGTGCGTACAGTCCCCGAGGACTCACCGGCGCTCGTTCGCGTCTTGTTCGGTCGAGGCTTACTCTGCTGCTGACTATACCCCTTCCCCTGGTAGCCGTAGTAGTCGCCGCCGGCGGCGTTGTACTGCGCGTTGTATTCCCCGGAGGGCTGACTCGACTCTTGGGGGCACGAGTCTGGTTGCGCACCTTCGCGCTGCTTTGATGGTGGTGCGCCCATCATGGGCTTGACGTCGCCGCAGAGCGGTAGCTCCTGTTGCTGCTGCATAAACGCGACGCTCATAGCGGTCGCGTGAGCGACAGCGGCTTGGTAGTCTTGCTGGCCGAGTGCCGCTGCCGCGACGGAGTCGGGAGTTGAGTCTTTTGGCGGAGTCGGAGGGAAGGAGAAAAGGGGGTGTGGATGATGGTGTTGGGCAGGGGAAAGAGGTTTGTCTGCTTGCGCGGCATCCTGCTGGAATCCGCCGCCCCATGCGCCGCCTCCCAGCGCCTTTGAGTCCAGCCAAGGGTGAAGCGGCGTGTGGAAATGCGGTCGACACACCTGTCCGCTGCCGCCACTTAACGTCCGACCTGCACATGAAAATGTTTGATTAGATTTAAAATGCAAATTTTTGATGAATTTTGGATGAAAATTGATTAGATTTAAAAAGGCTTTAAAAAAAGGCTTAATAACCTAAAAAGTCATAAGGATTGACATATTAACATTAATACTGAATTCCTTATAATATTTTTGAAATATAATTGTACTTTAAAAATATCTTAAGAAGAAACTTTCTAAATAGTTGATAAGGAACTAAGAGTAGTTCCTTATCAATGGTTAATCCATTTAAAGCTACTGTACTGCGATATATTACACTGTATTACGAAACAGCAAGATATGAGGTAACTGTGCAATAAATGAATCACCACATTTAATAAAAGGCGACTAAGAACATACCAGAACAAGATACTTCCGATATTTGGTGGTATAGGATAGCACCGTTAAAGGTGTGAGGTGAGACATTACTGTGTTCGTCTATACAGTGATAATAAGATAGAGAGAACAATTTATTTCACTTTATAACACATTTTACAATCCTGTAATCCTTTGTATAAATAAAGAAATAAAACAAGATAACACCACAGTATATAAATCCAATAACACGCTCATATTTTAAAATCACATCTAAAAGTTTAAAAAAAATGTTTGCTTTAACAATTTCAATTCCACAAATCAACAAACATAATCACAGCTGTTACAGATATCGGTGATCTTAAGTATCATGGGCACATTAACTCATCATAATAACCGACATTGAAAGCGTTTTGTCACTCGGCCCACACTTACCAAAATTAATATCGTTTGCCTGGCTGTTTCACACGACATCTCTATTTTCTAAAATTATAATTGTATACATGGAGTACTGCAAGCTTTAATGTGAATTTGATAAACAAATAATGGTTGTTTGGACCAGTCTCGTTGGCGTCCATGAACAAAGGGAACTCTAACAAAAATTATTACAAAAGCGCTGTGTCACAACGTCGAACAATTAAAATGGTGGGCCAGTTGGAAATTTCATTAATTAGACAACTATAAGATGATTAATGTTCATACTATATAGGGCCTTTTTTTACCAGTGTGAGATTTTTTTACTGAAATGTAATTGTATTTATAAAACAAATTGTAATACGATAATACAATGGGAGTCAATTTCGAAAAAAATTATTCTTCTTTTTTATTTAGCTAAATAAATTATTTTTATTTTATTTAGCTGTATAATCCATACCGCTAAATGAAAAAGCTGTATAGTCCTTTTCCAGATTTTGGCTTTTCCAAGTTTGCTATGCCTATAACACTGACATGCAGTTTTCGGAAATCTACCCATACTTACCACGCTGGTTAAGGATACTGCTCCTCATCACTAATTCCACAATCCATTCAATAATCCACTATCATCCACTCGGAGTATTCAGGCATCAGGCATTTTATAAAAAAGTTTTTTAGTCAACTTGAAAAACAGGAGGAGGATTGCAATTCAACTGTATCTTTCTTTTTTTGGACCAATTTTAATGGTCTCTATAAAAATGTACATGTACTTCAGAGTCAGTCTCACATAGGAGAAAAAGGAGGTCGCCTTACACTTCCCTTAGCGGTTCGAGGCTGCCACTCGAGAACTTTTCCTTGCTATGGGTTTTCGGTTCTTCGAGCTATGTGGCCGGCCATTCGCCATTTTAGCTTACTGATCCGTTACTCTAGTTCTAGTTAATCTATGTTGGTTACGCTAGTTCTACTCCGGATAGTCTCATTACGTACTTATAATTTATTTTTGTACACTTTTATACTTTTATTCGTGGTAGAGCCACGCTGTAGCTATATTATAGTTGCACGAATGGGGTCGGCTCGACCGGAGACGGACCACGCTTTCACAGCGTAAAATAACAGCTTAATACTGCTGTGTTTCGTGCTTAATAATGAGTGTAGAGACCCCGAGACCCTATTTTACTGGAAACTAGGCATTCCATTTAAGTCCTCAGGGGTGACAATGCATCTGCGTTTTGATTCTTAATCGAGGATAAATGTAGATGTCTATGGGCCACAGTATCTACTTACCATCAGGTACTGTATGCTCGTTTGTCAACCTTAATCTATAAAAAACTGAGAATAGCTCTAGAATATAAAATTGAAGTGATCCATTAACTAACAGTCCACGTGTTGGTGATTGCAAACCATGGATATCTGCAGTAACTTCAAACGAAAAAAGACACAAATGCGTTGTCACTCCTGATAGCTAAGATGAAATACCTCACTCTCAATCTGTAATTATACTGACGCCCTAACTCTACTCTTTGTACCAGGAATCAACATGGTTGCATTGCCATTTGACAGCAGAATTAAGATATAATATGGCCCATTGACATCTCCATCAAAATCACAATGCAGACGCGTTATGACCCCTCAGAGCTAAGATGTAATTTACCAGTAATAAGGGTTTGCGGTTAAACAACATTATAATGCTATTTTGCTCAGTTAATGTATAAGATAAGCTTGTTGTAAGTAAATTAGAATGTGTAGAAAATTATTTACAATTCATCACACTGTTATATAACCCTGAACAAACGTATATAGATTTTAAATAAAGTTTTCGATGGGGTAACGGCTCACACCCCATTCAATTTCACAAACTACATTCGGCAATTATTATTTATAAAAGTGAAAGCGAACATATGTATGGGCACGTTTGATTGCAAGGGTGCTGGTACTATCTGGTGGCCGGGGCCTGTGGATTGGTCGGTATATTAGGGGCCCTACCCTTCACGCAACTCCCTGCGGTAGTGGTGCGGTGGAGCATACAATTGTTGACGCATCCCCGTGGGGCGCTGCGGGTACCAAATGATTAGTTACTAACAGTACAGTTAACTTACTGCGAAACCTATGTTTATTAGATGAGATTACGACCTATAAATCCATTATTAAAATTACTTACAAAAATATATTATTTTATAATACCGTCTTATTGGGGCTTCTGGTTATGTGAATTACAATTTCAGCTAAGTCTTTATTTTTGCCGCAAGAAAACAAACTTTATGTAATGTTACTACGTCTGAAACCGCAAACAGTAATTAGGTACTTGTAACTGATTCAGATTACTCTAAGACCTGCTAACTAACTAGAACTGTTAGTCCAAAATTACAAAATGAACTCGGGTTTTCAATTTTTACTTTATAAAACGCCTCTTTCACATCTAATTAGGTAATTAACTGTGTAAAAAAGCGTAGTCGAATTAGAAACGTTGTTAAGTATATTCATTACCTAGTCATAACAGTCATACTAATTCTTCTTATTTGTAAGAGTTTATTTAAAAGTTTTACGGTCATAATATTTTAGGTAGTAACTGACGATCGTGATTAGTTACATACTAAGAAAATCACAATCAATACATTACAAACAATGTGGCCCGAATGTTTCCCTATAGCCCGCATGGCTTACGTCCAGGTGTTGATCGTACTGGAGATTATCAGAGATCCTATCGCAAGGGCACCCGTACATCGCGTACCAACTCCAACCGTGACACAGAGAAATGGACTATACGAGGAACGAATATCTAAAATTTAAACGTTTCAAATACATGTGGAACAAGCGAATCTTTCCTGCATGGTTTTAAACATCGATATAGGTATTTATTTATTTTAAATGTAATTCATGATTTTTATAAAAAAAAGGCTCTCAAGTGTTCTATAAACCTATCGGTTAAATTCTACTTTGCCTTTTAGTTTATATCGTAATTTATCATTGATTGAATTTACTTTAAATTTATTAACCTAAACGAAAGATGTATTAAGACGGTATCAAATTGTAAATACTGTAATGATTATTTACAAAAGTCATCCCCTTATAACAGATATACGTATTAGGATCTTCTTTAAGTATTCAGCCTCAAATAGCACATAGCGTTAAGAACAGTTATTATTTAGAAAAAAAACAATCAATCCACGGCCTCACATTAGGCAGCGTACACAGGGCAACGTTTTGACAGCGTCCAAGACAACCGGCAGCCACCCCTCGCGCTCACAATGGCACCAGCGATGGCGGACCGATAACGCGCGTATGAATAATTCCCGTTATCGTGCCATCTCACCACATGCGCTACCTGTCTGGTACCACGACACTTTTAACGAGTAAGAAGTCGACGATAGCCCCGCCTTTAGCCCTTAAACATATTCCAATATGGGAGCAAAACGAACGCACATGGTACCGGCCACCATCGGCGTTTTTAATTCATTAGAGGGCTGCAAAGTTTTGGGTCCTATTGTGCTAGATATTCTGTGTGCTACTAAGCCCCGATTGTATAGGGATTTGATCCTATGAGGAGTGTGGTTAATAGAAATAAAGAGGTAAACTCTCGGTTAAAAATACAACCACAATTCGAATTAGGAGCTTCATATCCTCATATATTTGATTCTTCTTTTAAATATAGGCAAGTAATACAATAATAAAGTAAAGAAGCAGCCCTTATAATGTCCCAAAAGAGAACGGAAGACTCCTCCCATTCGAGGGGGTTTGGGAGAAGGAACGTTCCGTCGCGCTGCTCTGAAGTGTTTTAAAATACATTTCTTTTAATTTCTAAGATATGCAGCTTCCCTATGATGTCTTCCTTCACCGATCACGTGATAAATCACCACTAAGATTATAGTTGACAATTTTGCTCGTGTACCACACTTAAATACTTTACCTACGATATAGATAATAATTAAATATATCATTGTCAAAACAAACAATACATTATTACGTAAACTTGTGATGAAATATATTATTACGTAAACGAATTGTGCAAAAATTTACATGTCTTTAAAGTTATATTTTCATCAACACTCCAATCAAAATCAGTTCTCTGCTTATTCTCACAGTTCGTACGGAAACAAAACACCGGAATCGAATCCCAGCCCCTGCCCTAATGTTGCAGACCCCCCAGCCCAATACAAGCAGATGCAGCGTCAGATCTTATCTGTACCGTTCTCCACAGGGCACTACAAGTGTTGTTAAAACTAGCAACGTTTTTCTCTCTTGTTTGATAGCTGTAACGGTTATTTGC